TGCCCGCGAGGTACGTCGCGTTCCGGGCCGTCAATAGACACCAGGCCTCCGGGTCGCCCTTCAAAAAGTCGTCGCCGCCGTAGTCTTTCACGATCGCCGCGGACAGTCGGTCCTCGAAGGCGCACCAGGTGTCGCGGTGCGCCGCGAGCGTCGCGCCGCGCTTCGCCTCGACCAAGACGATCATGGACCCCACGGACACGGACCCGGGGAACGTGGCCTTGAGCTTGCCGAACGCCTCCTCGCTCGGCGATCCGGCGACGAGCTGGATCGCGTTCGAGGTGCGGTCCAGCAGCGCCGGCGCGAGGGGCGCGAGGCCCAGCGACCCGAGGCAGAGCACGAGGATGGGCCAGCGGCAGCGGCGCGTGGCCTCGGTCCAGAGGACGTCGCCCTTCGGGCAGCGCCGCAGGCAGCGCCGCAGGCGCTGCCGCATGCCCGTCTCCTTGAGCCGCCGCGACGCCAGGGCCTCGTCGTCGTCGGGAATCATCGAAATCTCCAGGCGCCGGCCCTCCTCCTCCGGGAACTGCGTGAGCGTCAGCGTGCCGTTCGGGCGTGTGCGTCAGCTGTGGGAAGCCGTTCGAAGGCGCTTAGGCCTTGGACTTGGACTTCTTGGGGAGAAGCCGGGCGGCGTCTATCGTGGCGTCGCACCGTGTTTTGCCACTAATCGTGCACTGTTTACTTCAACATTGGCGCTCGAACATTCTTCGCGCGCGGGGCTGCCCGCCTCTTGGGAGCGCCGCTCGCAGTCGACGAGGACCGGCAGGCAGTCGACCGTACGCCGGAGCAGGGGCAGCACCGTCGCGTTGGAGGCGAGGTGGAAGTCGAGGTCCTCGGTCGCGATGGGCGGCAAGAGCAAGCATGGCCGCCGGCAGCCCCAGCGCTGCGGCCCCAAGGGCGCGAGCAAGATCCTCGACGCCGGCCCGCACGCGCTCTACCTCTCCGGCGAGCACTTCGCCCAGCGCAGAGACGCCATGGAGGCCCTGGGCATCACGCGCGTCGTCGCCTGCGGCTGCGACGCGCACCATCCGAGCGCCTTCGCGTACCTCGAGGTGCGGCTGCGCGACGCGGCGAACGCCAAGGTCGCGCCG